TCTTCACTTGTCTGTATGCATGTAGGGCAAAGATGGAGTAGGAAGCCGACCTATTTCTAATAAAGCTTTTTACCTAGGCCATTCATCGTAAGTATTCGAAAAAGTTAAAGACGTTTAGTGCCCTTTTCTATGCAGTCATTCCTTTTTTTTCTTGGGAATATCTAATTGCGCCTTTTTGTACTATAGGTACTCTGGAAGCACTTGCCTTCATTATCTAGTCGCAAGGCTTGCGCCGAACTTTGCAGTTGTTTCTCGAGTGCTCTATGAGATACGTAAACGATGCCCAGAGTTCGTGCCTCAGGCTATGTTCAACTTCGCATCTGGCCTGGGCACTGCCGTGTGGTGAGTGACTTATTTAGAGCCAAATACACATTTTGGTAAAAGACGATTTTTAATTCATGAAGTACGAATATGATAATTGTCTAATTTTAACGGATAAGATTAAGAGTTTATTTGGATTTTCTGTACTATATATCTTTACAAAATTTAAGCAATGAAAAAAATTAATTTTTAGGATATACTTGAGGCTTGTCCTTACTCACTATGCACTTACTTTTTGTGCGAACAACATAAAAGTATAGGATGATTGGGAAGTGTAGTTGGCTATGTTTCCACTTTAATAAAGAGAAAGCCAATTTATTCAAGGTTTGTTCGGCTGGGGTAGCCTGTTTGGTAATAAGAGTAAAATTGTTGAGCGAAACTACATTTCAAGCCAGTTTCATTGGCTATGTAGTTTGAGTTGCAATTATTTTCTGTTATGTTGGAGAAGGGAAAGCTTGGAGGGTTTTCCCTTCAATCAGGGTAGAATTCCTCATGGAAACGCCGTCAGAATGTTCCAGTAGAGCTAAACGATAGCTGGTAAAGAAGAATTCGCTGTCGTCTTCTGGTGGGAATGACCTTCGAATCTTTATGGCACCCAAAGTGAAAGTGGATTTGGAACTTGTAAACCAAAGATTCCTTTGAACCCAACTTTTTCTTGTATGATAAGATCAATTTTTAAGTGGTTTAATTAAATGTTTTATTTACTTTATCGCTATATTGCTAGATTTGGGTTGTTTGTTGCTAAATGTATTCATTCAGATTCTTTTCATTGTCACTGCCTAAATTTCTCCTCAATGTTTTCATTCTTTATAATTATAGTAAATTTTTTAATCGAAGATATGAAGAGCAAAATGATGTGGCCTTTTGTATGGTCGAAGTATCCTTTCGTTGTATAGAAGTTGTTTGACCTTGTTTTCGCAACTTATTGGTAGGAAGAATTAGAATAACGCATCTTGTCTGGAGTCCATTGTATGCATGATAATTTCCAAAGCCAGATCGTGGACGTTTTACATTCCCAGACGTTTCACCGGCATCGTTAGTGAGTCTTGCCATTACTAGCACCACATTACCACTTGTCAAAGAGACAAGTGAAGCCGATCCTTTGACCAAATGTGTGCTAAACAATCGTGGTATCTCTCCTGTGCTGGGTTATTCACCTATACTATAGCCTCGTATAACGTCTTCACTATCACAATTTTTTCCTTGCTTATTTAAATGTAGTATGGTGTGCCTTTTTGAGTGGCTTTCATGAGAACCCTTTACACTCTACGCCGGCGTTCTCGCCCTCCCTCATTCTTGTGCTGGGAATGTTGATCAGAGTGAATAACCCAGCACAGGAGGAGAGATACCACGATTGTTTAGCACACATTTGGTCAAAGGATCGGCTTCACTTGTCTCTTTAACGAGTTGTAATGTGGTGCTAAGCATGGCAAGACGATGCCGGCGAAACGTCTGGGAATGTGCCATGTCCACGGTCTGAGTTTGGAAATTATCAAGCATACAATGGACTCTGGACTAGGTGCGTCCCTCTAAGTCTTCCTACCAATATAACCAAGTTGCAAAAACAAGGTCAAACAGCGTCAAAAGTATATTTTTTCCTTAATGTGTGAGAAGTTGCTTTTTGTATCATGTACATTTCCTAGTAGAAAAAAATTTATAATCTGTCAGTGGAAAAATTTTCTCTGTCCTTCATTGCAGAGTTATAGCAGTGAGATTCTTTTGCTGTTTAAACTTTTTTTATGAATATACGGTTTGCATATTTTGGAGAACTTAAAGTGAATTTATGATGGCTTAGACTCCACAAAAGAGAACCAAGTCGGGTTATTAATCACGCTTATTGAAATCTCCGGTTTATTCATCTACATGCCTCCAACTTTTTTAAACCATTTTCAGGGCTGCAAATACCGTGTGGCCTGTTGGCTGCATTCGTGAGCATTTATTGGTAGATGCTTCGTCGCAAATGATTCAAATAGCTGAGTTTCTACTAAGCAAGCCTGAAGGATATCGGGCCAATGCCTTTGAGCCATTGTTCCCCGGCCTATATTGCCGTCACTACTTTCCTCGTGGCCCGGTACGCATTTAATTGTTTTATTGATAATCGGAGATCAATTTCAAGTCCCTTTGATATTATTTATGAATGATTTACTTTAAATTGACTCCCATTTATTAAAATTTTCTATGTAATTATATATGCTATTAGATCGCATGTATCTAAGTTGGCTACATGTCTTGTCTATTTATTCCTAGGGATCAAGTCATTTGGTTCTTTGGTTGGTATCCTCCCTAGTCAGGCATGTCATCAGTCACTTCTCACTAAGGCACACATGAACACACACTGGCAAGCAACTTGTATTTTGTAGGTTTGACTCCTCCCACTGCAATCGTTTTTTTAAGACTTTCCTTTGCTTCCCTTGATTTTCTTATTGACAATGTCTCTTCTCAACTAACAACTGTTCCGAAATAGATCACATATGGAAATAACCTTTAATTTCCATTCTCATCACACACGAAAAGGCGCTTGGGCCAAGGATATCTATTCAACAGCATCAAGAGACATCGCCAAGGAGAGGATTGTGAGGGACAGATGGAGGCCAATAAAAGGCGATTTCTCTGAGAGGAGCTTAACCTGAAATCAGCTTGAAGTTACCTATGCAGGAGCTAAATGAAAGTCAGAAACCCTGTAAACGGCATCTGGAACCGATGATGGTGATTACACTGCACCATATGCAGCGACACACTTTGAGGCTACATTGGAGGAAACGAGAGGACAGAATGATGTGAATAGGTAAATGGGCTATATGAAGTAAAGATAAGTGGAAGATGCAGCACTAGAAGGTAGGACAAAGACTAGGGACGTGGAGTGATGTACAACGATTGAACAGAAAATTGGTCAAGGGAATTTTTTTTGTCCTGTCATTTTAATAGGGTGTAATTTTATGTTAGCGATGGCGCCTCTCACTGACGGTGTAAGCGAAACTACTGGGAATGCACCAAGTCAATGGTCCGATGCTGGAAATCACGAATACTATTGCAAAGGACACACGATTACGTACGTTTCACAAGGTATCACTGTCGCCCCGACCAAGTTGCGAAAATAAGGTCAAGCCTACAATATATAGCTGAAGGAGACTGCGA